CTAAGTACCCGAGCGGGAGGTCTGGGAATCAATCTGACGGCTGCCGATACGGTAATGCAACTTCAGTTCACTGTTAATAAAAATGCGCCGTGTGACTTTGATGATGTTGTTGTTATTATGGTTGTGATATTTGTTGACTGTTGTTGTTTTTTAGGTTATCTTCTATGACAGTGATTGGAATCCCACAGTCGATCAGCAGGTAGGTCATCAGAATATTTTTTTACTCGACTGTTAGACGTCTTTCTGCCATCAGGAATACTGAAAACAGAAACCAGGGGCCCGTTTCTCGAAATCCCCGGAAACTTTTTGGGCCCGCAAAGCCATTTTTAGATAAGCTGTACCTAAAAGCCGAGAGTCGTATACGCGTGAAACTCCTTGTATGAAGGGAACCTCTGTTCATAGTAAGAATATGTGAATAAAACAGCTCTGTAGTCATAGGGTTTGGGACTTTGCTACGGCTTTCCGGGTGCGAAAACTTTTCGGGACGCTCGAGAAACGGGTCCCAGCCCTGTTTATGACTTCTGCTCTTGAAAAACTCTTACACAAACAACCAGTTGCAGCAAATAATAGAGGACCCAACGGCCCAACACTCATCCGGCACCCACAGTAGTTTACAGTTAGAGTTAAACGATGTCTGAGTCGGACATCGGTGCGAACTGCAGTAAGGAAGTCTTTTCGATGTTCAGAAGCCATCTTGAAGTTATGTTGGAGAAGAAAAACCGTTTCGAGTCCACAGCCACGGCAATGAATGCAGGTTACACAAATGAAATTCAAAGGCAAATCAAAATTGAATTTTTTCTATGCAGGCCATGGACCGCGCCCATCGCCTGGGTCAGACTCGACAAGTGACCGTGTACAGACTGGTAACTAAAGGTTCTATTGAAGAGAGAATTCTTCAAAGAGCGAAAGAGAAAAGCGAGGTTCGTACTGCAATTTGTCGTTGCGTGTGCATTGGACAGTGTTTTTACGTTTTACTGATAGTATTTTTTTATTATTTTAGATTCAAAAAATGGTGATATCAGGTGGTCATTTCAAACCAGAAGCTTTGAAACCCAAAGAAGTGGTTTCTTTGCTTCTTGACGATGCTGAACTGGAATGCAAGTGTAAGTTTGTAAATGAAATCCGTGTTAAACACTGTGTTCAATTGAGTGTTCCCCTTCTCTTTGTCTGATTAAATTAAGCTCTCGGTTTTCGGAAAATGCTTATAAAATAAACGAATTGTGTACGATTATTTCGTACTCTACAACCAGGTGTAGTTAGACAACCCGGGTATTCACGGTCATTTCTCGAAGGTGAAATTTCGACAAAAAAACATACTGCATGAGAGAGGGATGTCTTTCGATGGAGGTTAGGATAATTGGCAAAGAATACATCGACCTGTGCGCCGAGGCCGTAAAAATGTCCATTATTGCACGGATATACCCCTAACTTTGCATTGTGTTTATATCTACAGTTCTTCAACGGCAAGCTGAAAAGAAAGCCGACGAACAGCGACGCAGAAGAGAAAGAAAGCGAAAGAAGACAGGACCAGCTGAGGTTTGTGTGTTTAGTTGAATAGAGCGTTTCACTCACGTGGCCAGCAGCCATGCAAAGGAAATTGTTTTCATAAGAAACGAGTTCAACTGCCACAGGATTGGTTTGGTATACCAACATGACCACCAATTCATTGGTTTGGGACGCCATTATGGCTGCCGTGACGTCATGTGAGTTGTTCGATTGGGCCACTACTTTGAGATGAGCGTCAGAGGTGTCATATATTGAGACTGTTCGTACTTCGCTTTCAGTTTTTGCAATTTATACATGTTTTAGGTTCGCAGCTAATACTTTCCAATAGAATATCAGGACCTGTGATGGTTTTTAGTGTCAACGTTCATCTTCAAAGCTTTATTTATTTTGAGCTCATCTTTTTCACCGTTATTTTGTCATCAGCTTAATCAATGTGTTTAAAAAAATAGGTGGGCGAAGGTGTGTCACCAAGTATTGAGCTTCTTGATGGAACACCTCCAGCTAAGGCCAAGAAGGGGCGCAAAAGTAAGAGTTCACTTGTGCCACCTGCACCTGAAGGGTCCATATCTAGTTCCAAGCCAACTTCTGAGACCAGCAGTATAACTGGAGAAGGTCTGGGTATGAGGACTGGCGAAGCGTTTGATGGCGACGGCACAGTGGGTGATGATATCAGTGTGTTGAGTCTAGATGAAGGTCAGTTGTCATACTTCTGCTCGGTGCTACACTTACGCCGTGCTATTTTAGGACCAGCGTTGGATTCGTGTAAAGGAGCTGTATCTCTGATTTGGCATATGCGTGAAATTTAGCCTCAGTTGTCAATGTTTGTCATTTGTAGTCCGTCCCCGGTTTCAGTCCACAATCTTATCCAACCTTGTTCTGAGGTGTAGTGTAAATTTAAGGTTAATTTAGGCATTGTAAATATCGTGACATGGCTCTTCCAACTATACACTATTTCCAGTACTTTACTGTGGGTGTCTTTACATCTCCTTTGTATCGTTGGAAAAGAGTTATAAATTTGAGGGTCTGCGACTTTAGATTGAGAGTTAGTGTGTCAGAGGGGGTACAGAAATGGTCAACTGAAACAGTCTGTTGCAGCCACTTCACGTCTGTATTTTCATTTTCGTACACAGTTTCGCTGGCGTCAGGTGATCTATCAGTGGACATACCTCCAAGCAACACAGGCACGCCCCTGAGCTTAAAGCCCGAGGTAGATGACTTGGATGATCCTCGCAGCGAGAACGCCAGCCCCGCCCTATCGGACTCCTCTAGTAAAAGAGGCAGGGGTAGGGGCCGGGGAAGAGGGCGAGGACGGGGAATCCCTTCCAGCAGGGGACGAGGGGCGTCTAGTATACGAGGAACGCGGACACGAGGACGTGGACGTGGAACCGGAGGAGCGCTGGCTGCCTCTGCTGCCGCATCTGCTGCCGCCGCGGCTGCATCAGCGGCAGCGTATGCTGCCTACGGCTTCTCCTTCCAAGGAACAAGTACTCCGAATCCCACTCCACCTCCCACGCGGTCCAGTCCGGTGGCGTTTGGTGCGGGTGGGCCTTATGGTAACATCAGCCATCCTGTGGCACGGTATGATAACTCATCCGGGTATTCACCAGCTCCGAGTGCAGAGAACAGTCCGGCTAGATCTTCATCACAAGCGTCTGCGCGCGTTAATAGTCAGCAGTCGTCTTCTCCATCTTAAAAGACCACATGACATTGCGAGGAAAAAAAGTGGGTCAGTTGTGTTCGTCCGTTAATGCAAACTACTTTTTTTAAAGAGAACTATGGAGAACGTAATATTTGGTCAGGTGTATGTTAAATCTTAAATTCAAACACGACAAAAAAAGGTCAAGAAACTAAAATGGAGCACGGCATCCAATCTGGGGATTGTTCTTCCAGCAGGAGGTCCACCTTCGTTCCCAGGGTCTCTTTACCGCGGGGAGAGACCCTGGAAATGAGACTGGGAGGTTCAACGGCGTGCGAGCTGGTATGAAGAAAGAAATTGCCATGCTGGAAATTCTGTAATCTGTAGACACGGTACAAACTGCTGCCTACGCTTCTGAAACCTAGTTTGGTGTTACAATTATTCTTCGGACAGCCAACCAAGCCATGTGGAAGCTAACAAAAACATGTAGAGGAGGAGAAAAACTGGTGCCATTTCTCGTCGTCTAACATGGTTACTTATGTGAACTGAGAAGAACAGAGCTATACAGTTCTATGTAGATACTTTCGGGTTACTGTCGGTAAATAAGGTTAAATGATATTGTAAGTGGTCACCTTGACAAGGGGTAATCACTTGATACATATATTATTTGACTGAAATCTGTTGGTTCTGTTATCGTAAAACAGTGACAAGTCTTAATTTTTTAGCAACAAAAGTGTCAAGAATTTAATTGTTGAACATCAAGTTGTAGCCTTGGTTTGTTTGTTTGTTGGAAAGAGAAAACTTGCTCGCGGGTATAGCCGCCTTTTATCCCTCCCGCCCTCAAATACACCGAATAGCTACTGAAGGTCACTTGGAAGAAAACGGACTCGAAACAAATCACAAACAAGTAAATTAAAACATTTCTAACCGCCGACCGGTTAGCTCAGTTGGTAGAGCGTCGGACTACCGTGCGGGAGGTCTCGGGTACGATAAACCGTAGGCCCCGTCTCCTGCATCTTCACTGTTATGGCCAGCAGGGGACGTTAGGGAACCCACATACTCATCGTAAAGAGCAGGGCACGAAGTTCCCGGTGTTGTGGTCTGGTCTTTGCCCATTGTGCTGCTGAAATGCTCGGAGACATTAGCTGTTAAAGCTACTCTACAATCCGAGGGTAAATAAATTATACTACTACTACTTTCTTCTCGGACACTGTTCGAGTCGTGGAGAAAGGTCATGTGACATCCAGCTTGAACAGTCACTGTTTTATAAAGTAACACGAAGCTGTCCCTTGATTTTAGCTTAATGGACCCGGGCCGAGGACACGTCCGGACGCGATCCCTTCAACCAAAATATCCGGGCTGAGGTTCGAAAATTTCTTGGGGCAAATGGATCGCGAAGGTCTCGTTCCATTCCACTCGCAATAATAGTTTCGCGGATGTTGGATCACTGTTGCTCGTGTAAGAGTTAGATGACGATTTCGACTTTATCAATGATATTGTTCGAGCTGTTTCATGCGTAGAAATTTAACCCGTTCAACTGGGTATTTTGAGCAGACTGTTCCCAGATATTTGTCGGTTGCGTTCAAAGATCTTGAAACACTACTTTCGAATAACGAGAAGAACATTCGTAATTCTCCCGGGAAATAGACCGGTTTATCAGCCAAAACATACACTGCATAACACAGCTACGTAACTGTTGTTGCTGCACATGGATGTTCGAGTGACACCGATAAATCCGCGGTTAACAATCCACAAAAGCTGCAATGATGAGTGTTTTCCTCCATGTCGAAAATGGAAAATACCGTACAGCGAAGTACTGGTAGCCTGCGAACAGGCTCCCGGTGAGGACGGAAAAAAAAATTGGCGAGCGCGGAATAGAAGAATTTGGAGAGCGAAGCGATCGGGGCGCAAGCTAAGGTACTGGGATTGAGAATGGATTGGAAATGTCAAATGGAACGGTCTATTTCGATCAAACCGATCCAACCTCGAAAAGTGGACCGTCTTTTTCGAAACTTTTCTGGTTGGACCGAGCCGATCCATTCAGGTTTAGACCGAAATTTCCGCCGGGAAGGTTTGGTTGAATGGATCGCGCCCAATTGTAACACTCATTACACGGTCTAAAGCCTAGTCCAAACGGGAAATGTTTGGCAACCAAACACGATCAAACATTGTTTGGGAACCAAACATGTTGACGATGTACTGAGAAGCCAAACGTCCAAACGAACAAAATGTCTTAGTATTTGGACAAATGTTTGGCGTCCTTCAAATTTTATCAAACACGATCAAACAAGGTGTCCAAACGGGAAAAAGTTCGTCACCAAACAATGTTTGCTCGGGTATGATCGCCGAACATCTTCTGTTTGGACAGGGCTTCATGCTAGTGTTTGTTTGGTTTTTGATGCCAATGTTATTGGATCCAGTCTGGTGGTAGGTTTGGCAAGGTTCCATTACTGCCGGCTTAAATATTTTCTTTATGTAACTGTTCAGGGGACGAGATCTCAGTGACTCGTATGACACTGTCTGCGTTGTGGTCATCGGCCTTACCGTTATTTTAACTCTGCTGGATATAGCTGGAGAAAATAAAAGCCTTATAGTAAGGTTCCTTGCTCCTGGCAACTTACCAAACATCACTGAATGTTGCACTACAGGTTAAAACGTGTTGTGGCGCGTATTATCACCCGTGTTGCGGCGACATGTAGACACGAGTTAACCTCTGCGCAAAAGGTGCATCATATGTTCAAATACACTCTTTTTTTATTTATATATAAGAACATCTAACTTTGGAGCTAAGGCTGAACGTCCTTATGTCTCTTATGTTTTTTGCGATCTGAGGCTGAAAACGTTCGTAAGATGTTCTTAACTTTACATGGTATACAAGGTCGACTACCTTGATAATACTTCAGACTTTGTATCACCTGATGACTTTGATGGTGTGGAAGTTATTTTGAAGCAGTGATAAATAAGAACTGCTAATTATTACAAACCGAGATATGTCTCATGCAATAAGACAACCATTGTTAATGTTATACAATACATGCCCTTGAGTATTTGGGTTAATTTTACATTTTTTTTGTTACCTTTATTTTATGCTTGTCGTTTAATATACAGATTGGCAAAATAAAAACGTTCTTAATCGACTCTCAGCCTAAGGAATGTTCTTAATACTTTCTTAAAATTTTGGTTAATCTCAGCCTCAACGTTTTGATAAAAAAAAAGGTTCTTATATAAAAAAAAAGGGTGTAGCCTGCAGTATAGGCGGATTAGCGGGGCAGAGCCCCATACGCGAAACGTGACACACGAACGTGGTCGGGTATCGAGTTTCGTGCTCTTCTTCGCTAACCTGTTCTGCAGGTTAATGTTCAAGGAGCAGAACATTCGATTGTCAGCTGATGACTCCTTGTGTACCCTGCCCTTATCGATTATAGCTGTCAAGCAGTGAGCATGTGAAAATCGGGTGAAATGAAGTGGCGTGAGTGGAAAATGGATCGCGGAGTTTCCGCTCCACTCAGGGTCGGAACACTGGTCTAAAAGAAAAAGGCAATTAACTCTTGCGAATATACGACACAAAAATTATATAGACTATACAAGCGTTTTATTTCCTTCAATGCAAAACTGTATTCTTCGATATTTGAAAAGAAAATCATCTCTGACGGCGGTGTCGCAATAACATGGAAACCAAAACCACATCACTTTGTAATGAAATTATTTTCTACTCTGATGCTTTTTTATTCTCGCGTGGCATTGATTTTTTGCAAGCTTCATTGAAATCTGGTAAATATGTGACTCCTAGAGAAACACAACATAACTGGGCGCACAAAAACATGTTCGAAATTTATAATTCAGTATACTTCAGAAAACATTCAACACATTACAATTAATTAGAGAAAAGCCGAAACCAGCCGTATTTTCATTTCTAGAAAGATACACTGGTTGTTTTGTACTCGATATATCGCGAAATTTTTTTCTCAAAATTTTGACCTCTCCTCAAGGTCCTCAAGAGCAATCCTTGGGAAAATAAATAGAAGACCTTTATAGGATAGTTAATATTTCAATATGAATTCAGTCAATACATTCTAGTCCCCCAGATATAATTGTTAAATAATTTTCAAAATGGAATAATTTTTCGGCACTGAAGTGCAACAAGATCATTGTCAATCACTTGAATGATACTATTTATGTCGAATTTCCTTTCAGGAAGAACCATAATTGCTTTTTCTCTTCTTTTCCATGAAGTTTTCGACCGTAAAATTTAAAAGTATGAATACATCCCGTCACCTACGAGGAGCACTCTGGGATTTAACTATTTACACAGTTCAACGACAGCAGCGACACCCTCCGCGGTTTAGCTGCGATTTAGCTGCGGTTTTCAGTCTCACTTAATCAACGTGTGTTTCAATTGTGTCCAAGGCGTACACACCTCTGTCGACAGTCCAAGCTCTTTTCTGACCAACTTCTCCAATTCAAACAAATGTTCCTCGTCGAAATCGGGAACTTTTTCCCTCATGAAATCTGCCAGTCGAATAAGATACTCCACATTGCACCCAGCATGTCCGCGGGCAGAGGCAATTTGAACCGCAATGTCTTCCAACGTAGCTGGCCCTTGGAAGAGCGAGTTTTTCGGAGTAGCGGCGTATACCAGCACATTGAAGCTGTGCGAGGGTTTCTCGTTACAGTTGAAGCGCAAACGACGAAGTTCGTAGCCGCCTAGAGCGATTTCCCGCTCGTTCAGTTTTCCCATGGCACGATCGGCGTTTTCTTTAGCCACTTTAAATGCAATACCCCAAACGCGCCCCTGTACAGAAAGAAATCATAGGTATATTTAGTCCTAACGGCAATCTGGTTTCTAACACGCATCGATTTTAAAGCAGCGTCCACACCACGCCGGAGAAATATGAAAACGCAGCTTTATTTCTACTGTTAGGCATTCCGTCCACACTATTATAATCCGTCACGAAAACAGAGCTTTTCGGAAACGCTCTTCAAACCGGAGGAATTTGAAAACGCCGGCTTTTCGTTTTCTTTTGGACGGAAAACATTTTGAAATTATACGGAGCTTTCCGCAAACGATGTAGTCACAACGATCATGTGATTTCCCTGACCGAGATTTTCTCAAAGACAAATCCAAACAGACTGGTCATTGTTGCGATTTTACATGTTAATTCCTCCGGTGAAG